AAATTACCTTAAAATGAGGAAAAGTGAATCCTATGGTAATCACTTTCTTAGGAATCTAAATATTATAATTATTGTACCAAACATGGTAATATTGCAGATTCTCATTCTCATTTTTAAGATTACTGCGCACTAAACCCTATGTGTTTTTGAAATAATGGGGATTGGGAATGAAGATGAAAGGAATGAAAGTTTTTTTTATTATTTTAAGAAAGGAGGTGCAGATAATTTGCTTACAATCAAATTGATTGTACACTTAAGTTACGTTTGGTTCATAGATTAGAACCATGTGATTAGAACTATTTTTGATTTACGTGTATTTTTTATGAGAGAAAATACTGTAACGAACCACGAACCATGTTTCAAATCAGGAAACGAATCTAGGTACCAAACATCCTCTTATTGTTCTTCGCTTTTCACCGCTTGATTATAATAAATCAATCGATCTATTTAAAGTAGTTAGTTTAAATATTCGTGCCATAATTTGAATTATGATTTATGACTTGTTATAATATTTTCTCTCATAAAAATATACATAAATTAAAAATAATTCTGAATTAATTAAGTGAACGTCCTCTTAAAAAGAATGTGAACAAAGAAACTACCAAAAAATAAGCCCCTCAAAGGAAAAAAAAAAAAAAGAAAAAAAAAAAAGAAAGAGAACAAAACTTCGAAAACCCAGATAGCACGTGGCTGGTCCGGAGCGCGAAGCATGAATATTCACATTAACCCTATTTCTCAAACCAGCCTATCGGATCGGAGTTGGGTCAAAGTTAGGTCAACAAACGTCACTAATCAAACCGTTTATGGACGTGGCAAAAATTACACGCGGGTTCACGGATTAGAGCATGGACTCTACCGCACGCAGCCACACTCACCCATTCGCTTTGGTTTCATCGACCCCTCCTCTCTCTCGCTCACAGCTCAGACGGACTCCCCAAAACTCTCTCTTTCTACAAATTGTTTGTTTCAATTCTCTCTTCAATTTTTCCTCTGTAACTACTCTCTTATCTCTCTCTCTCTCTCTCTTTCTCTCTCTAGAGCTTCTCCTTCTTTATCTCTCTAGAGCTTCTCCTTCTTTCTCTCTCTGCGCAACAATGGCGTCCTCTCTTGCGACGGCTTCGGCTATAACCAAAGCTACCAGTTTATCTTATTACAATGACGGCAATTGCAAGTATTGCCCTATCTCCAAGGTTTCTTTCCGTCTCTCTCACAAGCCTAACCTCCGATTTGTCACCTCTCAGGTAACTTATTGCATCTCTCTCTATAAATATACGTGTAACATATACGTAGGCATTTCTATGTATAAACGTGTGTAGTGATCTTAAAATTTGCTGCACTGTCTGAAATTTTCGTGTTTGACTTCTCGGAAAATATTAAAAATTTAGAACAGAGGTGAAATTGATGTTTTATTTTGTTAGATTCTTGAGATATGAAGATGCTTTTGTTGGATTGGAGCATAATTGCTTTGTATATTTCAGCTTGGAGAACTTCTATAGCTTCATACCGAGAAATTTACAGTTATTTGAGCTTAGGATTAAATTGAAAATCGGTGATGCGTGAGGTTTATGGAGATAGTTTATTCAAGAAGGTAAAGAAACAGATTAGGAAGAAAAAAAAATGTTTTGCTTCTCTCTTAATCGAACGGCCTGTTCTGTTCCACACCACGGTATGCAGTGCGGCAGTGGATATGCTGTCTATCATTCTGCTGTGACAAAGCAAGAGACGAAAATTAACAAAAAGGTGTTGCTCTTTGTTTGTTCAAATGTATCGAGGGGTGGGCTTCTTAATTGTGGTGTGGGTTTTATTTATTTATTGGTGACATAGTTATGTTGATATGCCCCAATCGACAAAGGTTCTAATATGCATAAAATAGATAGTATGATAGTATATGATGTCCTTACATTTGTTTGTATGCTCCAGTTGTTTTTAAAACTCTTCATCTCTATTGTACAACCGAGTCAGATACTATAGTCTATAGTTGAGGAATCTTTGATATTGGTGCATTTTGTAACCCATGCTCGCAAAATGCAAAATTTTGACTCCCATTGGTTATTCTTAAGCGTGCATTTTAGTCGAATTTTGTTTTTTTGGCTTGAAGATTTAAGTCTAAGGCACTTGAATTCATGTGTGCTCCACACGGAAGTTAAAAATTGGTTTGTGCATGACAGGGTTTACAGTCAAGTCGTAGGTCTACTGTGGTCAAAGCTCAATTGAATGAGGTAAGGTTCTTTGGTTGGTTTTCGTTAGACAATATGTTTTCAAATTTACGTTCCTTGCTGGACATGCTGTTGGGCTCATCTGTTGCCTTCAAGGTTGCTGTCGATGGATCCTCCAATGCTGCAGCTTCACCTTCAACCAAGTCTGATGCACCAACACCAAAAGAGTCTAGTGAGCCTTCTCCATCAGTTTTGGCAACAGAGGAATCAATCTCTGAGTTTATTAGTCAAGTTGCAAGTCTTGTAAAGTGAGAGAACTTAATATATTACTCTAAATTTTGACAATCAAGCTGGTTTGATCAAGTAATATGTTATGTGTATTTCAGGCTTGTTGACTCGAGAGATATTGTAGAGCTGCGGATGAAACAACTGGACTGTGAAGTAGTAATTCGTAAAAAGGAGGCCTTACCTCAACCACCACCTCCTCCTATTCCTATGGCTGCAGTCCACGCACTACCTCCAGCTTATGCACCACCAGCTTCACCTGCACCTGCTCAGGCTTCTTCTCCAGCACCAGCAGCGGCCCCACCTCCACCTGCTGCCAAGTCAGCAAAGTCTTCGCTTCCACCTCTTAAATGTCCAATGGCAGGGACTTTCTACCGGAGTTCAGCACCTGGTGAACCTCCTTTTGTGAAGGTTAAAAGTCTTCCTGTAGCAATTCATTTTTTGATTTATTTCATCTATTCCATGACCAGAACAGGGGGGGATACACATTACACCACGATTTTGAATCAGAAGAGAGATTTCTTAGTATTTTTAATGTGATTATATTTATTGACTGTTCTGTTGTGTTTGCTGCATGCAATTCTTTGTTGGCTTACTTGAGAGTCTTTCTCTTCAGGTTGGAGACAAAGTACAGAAGGGACAGGTCTTGTGTATTATTGAAGCCATGAAGTTGATGAATGAAATAGAAGTAAGTTTTATTTTCTACTCTTTCTGAGCTTCTCTTAATGCAAATAAACTTCTAGCAGATGAGATAATGACTTAACAAGTAACATACACCATTTCCATTTTGCATTAAAAATCTAGCAGATGAGATAACTTAACGAATAACACGCTGGAGGGAAGAATTGTAGTAAACTGTGGAGGGAAGCTAATGATGTTTTGTTGGGGTTGTTTGGTTGGTTACTTAGATTAGAAAGAATAGAATTTGGTAAAGAAGGAACCGTTCATAAATGACACTAGTTATCTGCTCCATATCTACTAATTAATTAGAACTTAGGATCTTACTTTCGGAAACTAAAAAAAAAATGCATGTTTTCTTTTGTTGTGCGAGATGGGGGCTAAAAGGGTTTTTTTTTTTTTTTTGGCTCAAAGATTCACAATTTGATTTATTGCTTAAGATAGTGATATCTAATTTGACAGTACAATATCTTAAAGGAACTTCTGCACCTTCTTTATATTAGGTTTCTGCTTATCGTAGCAACTGTTGAGTATGATACCCTTTTAAGAAGTGTCTCTCCACAACGGGTAAGCTTTTGGTAAACACGTTTCCGAGATCCTAATTTGTCTTTGGACTTTTTCCTTCAGGCTGATCAATCAGGAACTATAGTCGAGATCCTTGTGGATGACAGCAAGCCTGTTAGTGTGGACACAGTAAGTATTCTTAAACCACCCAACCCCTAACCTGTTCAGATGTTCACAGTGATGAATACTCGATTACACATTTGCATATTCTTTTTCAGGCAATCTTAACTATTCTTTTTCAAATTTTGTTGCAGCCTTTATTTGTGATCCAACCCTAGAGCTTAATGGCTGAGCGTGCATAGTAGATGGCTTTGAGCGGACATGAAGAAAGGTTGCTTTACCTAGTAACAGTGTAACTTGCGGCAGTGTTTGAGTGTGGTAGAATGTTTTGCTTGAAATGAGGTGTAGTGCAGGGAGTCAGATGAACTTAGTTTTGAATCTTCGATACCGGAGCCGAGAACATTTTCTTTATGATGGTAGTCTTCCTCTTTTTATTTTTTCCTTTTTCCTTGTATCTGTCTGAAACTGTGCTATTAAATTGATAATGGTACTCTAATAAACCAATTTCTTAAGGTCTAATGCTCAAGAACTGGTGTCTTGAAATGAAGGCATTTGGTAAAATGTTCCGATACGGAATTTTCTCGCTCCTCGTTTTTCATGCCATTGGCTAGGCTATGGAAAGGGGTTTCTTTTCCCTTAAGAAACCTCTCTTGCTCTTGCAAAATTTGGACCTAATTCTAGACATTCAATTTTGAAAAGAAAGGAATAAACTTTTTGCATATAATTTGTTTTTCCAACGTGATAAGTTAATTACGTATGTACTGCATTGAAATAACAAATGTAAGAGCGCTATAGTACACAAATTTGCAGGCTTGTCCACCATTTCTCTCAAGATTTAGGCCGGCCTTCTGCTCATGTCTCAAATAAGAAGTGGGAAAGGAAAAGCCGGGGGAAAAAAAAGGGAAAAGGCGAAATTGTTGCTAAGATATTACCAATGATTAATTTTTGACTGTATTATTCACCTTCTTATCTAATATAATAGGAAATTACTCTCAACACGCACGCACGCACACGCAAAGCGCACAACAGGAATCTTCAGCCAAATATATATATATATATATATATAAAATAGGAAATTAACAACATCCAGTTTTGCGCATATTTTTTAACTATCATAGAATCAGAATTCAGATCCTTCTTTTTGTCATCCACTCATCCCAACAAATATAATCACATTCATAGTCATCCAGAGGAGAAAATAAATAAAGCATGTTTCAGCTTCATACGACCATTTCAACAACAAAAACAAACTTGTCCATAAGCGGCGGAAAAAAATGGCTGACCCGCCAAAAAAGATAGCTAATGAGCTAGCCTAAAACAAACTTGTCCATTGCTATGCATATCTCTAAAGTAAACAAACTGAACAATATTATAAGACACCATCAAAACCCTAATATAAGATGAGTAAGGCAGTATGAGGTTTATAGGTGGGATTTATCTTGTTAACGGTGGTATTTAATATCGATAATGTGTATGTGAGATTCATCTTTATTAAGAGTAGTGTTTAGTACTAGTGGGGCAATTAAGTACTTTTTCTCTTTATTAGGTCTCGTTCATTTCACCGATTTGAGTTTTTAATTTCAATTTTGCTACAGTAAAAAATTCTCACAAAAAGTCACGTCTAACTTTTTTGCTACAGTTAAAAACTCTCATATAAAGTCACATCTCAGTTCAAATTAAAAATTCGAATCGACGAATTCGACGAACTCAACGAGGTCATAATAGAGAAAAAAATTACTTAATTACACCACTAGTACTAAACACTACTCTTAATAAAAGATGACTAGTTGAGAGCCGGGTCAAGTACTTGAGCCAAAGAATCAGATCCATCCTCTTGTCATCTACTCTCTAAACTTCTGAATTATCTTGTCTTGTTCAAAAAAAAAAAAAAAAACTTGGGAATTATCCATGTGAAGAAGCAGGCCATGTAAGAGACAATAAGTTTATCTTAGGAATTATCTTTATGACGCAAAATTCCAACCAAGTATAAATCCGTCATCATCTACTCAAAAATAAATAAACAAAATAATCAGTCATGTCAGCCAACTTCATCTTGATCCATTAATTTGGGCCACGCCTCTGTGTGTGGTCCAACTTCTAAGCCCACTTAAGTCTATAACCAGTTAAACCATAATAGTTAAATAATAAAAAAATAAAAAAATAATTTTTTTTTTAAATGAAGAAAACCCGCATGTGCGACACATCACCGTCCAAAACAGAAACAATTCCGGTATTTTGCCGTCCAGAGTCAAAGCTCAAAACTAGAAAATAACGAAAATAAAAATAAAAATAAAAATAAAAATAACCTCATCATTTCCACTCTGTCACTCTTAAATTAAAGGGGAAAAAAATCGCGTTCTTCTTCTCTCTCCATCTCTGAAATGAAATCTGAACCTTAAAACAATCAAAAACAGACGAATCAAAAAGTTCTTTTTCTCACTTTCTTCTCCCAACATGGGTCATCCTCCTCCAAAATCCTCCATTTTCTCTCACTTTCCCAGACTTTTCCTCGCTTTCCCACACTTTCTCTTCGCCCTCCTGCTCATACTCTTCGCCGCCGCCTCCGCTGCCCTCGCCGCCGCGCCCACCACCATTTACGATTATCTCCGCCTCCACGATCTACCTATTGGCCTCTTCCCCAAGGGCATAACCGAGTTTTCTCACGACCCGTCCACCGGCTATTTCCAGGTCTTGCTCAACCAGCCCTGCAACGCCAAGTTCGAGAATCAGGTCCACTACGATTTCAATGTCTCCGGAACCCTAAGTTTCGGCCAGATCGGAAATTTGTCAGGCGTTACCGCTCAGGAGCTCTTCCTCTGGTTCCCCGTTAAAGGTATTCGCGTCGATGTCCCGAGCTCCGGCCTCATTTACTTCGATGTCGGCGTTGTCGATAAGCAATTCTCTCTCTCCCTCTTCGAATCCCCTCCCGATTGCACCGCCGTTGATCCGTCCGGTTCCAATTCGATTGCTGTTTTTGACGACAAAAGCCGAATCGGCGATTCGAATACTGGTTCTAAGGTTGATTTTCTCTTTATTTTCCTATCATAATTGTTTCCTGTTCGAGTTAGGCTTTATCTTTTCGCGTAATTGTTATGTCAATAGCGCTAATTTAGTTGTTTTACCTGTGAATCTTTGTGGTTTGTGTTGTGCACGAGTTTTATGAGCTTTACCTTTTTTTTTTTGGGGTAATTATGATAATCTCTGTATAATATATGCATCTTACCTGTCATTTTAGATTGTGCTTACCGTTCTTATTCCTGAATTTAATTAATTTCAGAATTGTGATAGGCTCTATAAGCTTATCTGGATAGCAGTAAAGTTTAAAACTTTTTTTTTTGTTTTTTGTTTTTTTTTTTGTTTTGTTTTTGTTTTTGTTTTTTGTTTTTTGTTTTTTGTTTTTTTTTGCAATTGCAATTTATGTTTATATTTATGAAGCATCCAGAATGAATTCTTTGATGCACTAAGGCGATGTGCTTCAATTAGGACTTGGGTTTTGTTTGCCATGGATAATGATTTGTGTATAACATACATCTATACCTTATAAATCATTTAGGTTGGTAGTTTCTGCCATCTAAGTAGAAGTTTGAATATTGAGATAGTTCTCTGTTGTTTTTCGTCATAGGAACATTGGGAAATTTGGCAACTTTTTTTTCAAATTGAAGCTTATGTACAGCTACTACCTGTATATAAATGACCAAACCGATAGACTTAAGAGCGTAGTTTAGACTTTCCGCTTGCTAACTTGTCAAATTTTCACTTTGCAGAGAAAAAATGAAATAATGTGGATGCTGTTCATCTAATGCATGATGCATAGATTCTGAATTCATTATTTAGCTAGTTTTTTATGTATCTCTATTCCATGATCCTTGAATTAGACCTTTAATGTTGATAGAAGATGGGATTGGTAATTTTTGGTTTGTTACTTTACCCTATTGATTATCAATGGAGAAGAGAGAGTTGTCTTTGCAGAGCTCTTGTTAGTACGTGAGAATTTTTTGTTGCCTCTGGTGTCGTGGTTCATATTGATTTTTGGAACCATTTGATATTGATCTGTTACTCCCTGTTAATAGTTAACTCTTATATTCAGCTATGGGGGGTGCTAATTTACTTGTTAAATTTCAGATTGGACTCCGAAAGCTTGGATATGAAGCTGGTCAAAGAAGCACACTAAGGGCTAGTTCATAGATTGCGGAGCAAAGATATCATTGTTTAGTGTTCAAGTTAGCTCAATTCGCCTGAGGGTTTTTCCCTTTGCCTGTAGAGAGTGTTGAAGAATCTGGTTTGGAGGTCCTATGCTTTCTGTATGTGTGCTTTGCTTGCTATTTTGTACATATAGTTCAGCCTGATACTTCCATCTTTACAAGGTAAAGGAGAACAATTTTGGTAAAGATGGGATGAAAAAGAAAAGTCTATGGAGATTGGGTCTACATTAAGCAGGAAAAGACAAGGTTATTCATCACAGGTTGGTTTTGGCCAATAATATGATAAAATTGTGTCTTTCTACTATCATTATTGTTATTATTGTTATCACTATGCATATAGAAACGTGAGTTTGAATTCGAGGTCATGTAAATGGAGAAAACTATAGTCTGTGGTTTTGTCTAATGAAGTTTCTAAGAATTTGTGATTTTTCTTTTAAATTATTCTTAGTTTAAACTTTAAATGATGAAAATGGTTGGTCTATTTTCTTATCAAATGTGTCGAAAAGAATTTATTGTTATGATAGAACTAACCACTAGAGACATTGTTCTTTCTTTCGTTCCTTTTTGTTAAATGGGACATTGTTCTTTCTCGTGTAAGCATAATGGAAATATTTCACTTCTCATATTATCAGCACGATCAACCAGAAAACTAAAATCTCTTTGTTTGAGAAAAAAATGGGAGGAGATAAGAAAACCTTGGAATTCATATCTACTGTTTCTACATAGACAACACGCCTCTAAGATCATCCTCGGAGGGCTTCACAGAACTTGAAATTGTAACTTTTTCTTTTATAGGGGAATTTAACTTGCAACCTGAGTTCGGGTTTCAACCAAAATATAAAATTTGGCTCTGAGGTATTATAAAGTGTTACAGATTTGAAACTAAGAATAACGTAGAAATGTGATCAAATATTTGGAAATTTCATTCTTGTATGGAAATCAGTTATCATATTATGTAATATGCACAGTGAACTCTGGCGAAAAAGAAACCAAAATTGATCAAGGCCTTTTCCTTTAGCCGGGCAAAATACTGTTGTTACTTGTTACTTGAAGTTATTGGAATCGGGGTTATTTTTTTGAGCATTCCTAAATGGCTCCGCAGAGCTGTCGTTTAGACATATGGGGTAGGCTGGCTACATGTGGGTCTTACGGGGGCATGGGCCCACTCCATTGGTCTAACGAGCTGTGGCTCGCATAGATTTGTGGCTCCGCGAAGCCATTCAGCATTTTTGTATTTTTTTTTTTGGTTGAAGTTGTATTAAGACTGACACGACAACACGACTCGAATTTCATGTGTTAAAGTTGAGAAAAAAAGATTCGGGTCAGAATTAGATCGACTTAAAATTAACACGAAAAATACGAGTCAATATCAGGTTGGACCCGTCTAACCCGAACATGATACGAAATTCGTTCTCCTGCCTGCATGGCTCTCTCCTCTAAACTTGAAGTATTCCCAAAGCTAACCTCAGCCTCTGACTCAGAACTAGAGCCCTCTAAATCCTCAGACAGCTCATCTGAAACATAATCTAGCTCGAAGGAATTTGAAGAAGCAGAAGATACCATGGATATCACACAACTATTGATGGCTACTTCCACAGGGTCTAATGAACATCAGACCCATACAGAAATGGGAGAATCTTCAAGAAGATCAAGGGAAACATCTCCCATCATAAAAGAACCACCTGATGCTCAACAGCGTTCAGAAGGTACATCCTCCAAGCCAACAGTTGGCCCATGGTTTACATTTGATAGTTTCAAAGTCTTGGAGGATACAGGCAGCTCCAATTCATTAAAGCAAAAACTGCAGCAGGAACACTCAGACTCATATACCAAGAGTTCATCGGAGACTACAACCTTATCAACAAGTAAATGCGTACACTGGCCGAGAGCTTCACAAACCATTAACAATGAGAGACCCTAGCACTGTACGGCGTCTTTCGGCCTCATGCATACTTTTAGCCTTTAGTGTTACAAGTGCTCATCACTCATGGTTATGGAGATCGTAACAAGGATCTTAGGCTAAAACCTTTCTGGTGTGTAGGATCCTCTACTAGAGGCAAGCACAGAGCATACTGAGTCAGGGAGAGAAATGATTATGATATAAGAGGAGGAGCTCATAATTTCAGAGTGGAAGTAAAGTTGTTTAGAAACTCATGTTTTTATTACTAAGCAAACTCTTTACAAAGTTCTCTTCGTTGGAGGAATTTTGCCCCAAACAAGATAATTGCCTCGCTTTATATAGTTGAGGCCAAGACCTGAGGACTCCGACAGGATAAGATACATACTATTGTCTTTTAGACTTATTTTACAAAGGACAAAAGACTTTAGATAAAACGGATCTCTGGCTATTCCGCTTGTGACTTAAGGGAAAAACAAAACCACTTTCGGTGAAGTGGCATACAGACTATTATTACATTTTTGACTTAAGAGAAATAAAGACAAAAGGCTACTGTACAGGAAGGACAGCCAGGAGGGACTAGTCATTGCATATGGAAGTGTAGTCTGATGAGGATGTGTCCGTGTTTGTTGAACCTTGCTCATATGGCTTGTCATGTGGGTACCACACCATATGTTTTTTAGTGGAATGTGGTATGTATTCTATGAGCTGATCTAGAAGGTAGTCTGGATCTTGTGAATCTTGAAACATAGTTGAATTGTAGTCTGGTTGACTTTGTGAGCCCTGTTGTGTCGATGAAGGAATAGAGGCGAATGCTGGTGCGATTGATGGAGGTGCTGTATCTTTTTTGAAATAGCGACTGTTGCTGATAGTGAAGATGTTGCATGGTCCATAGATTTGAGTGGGTGGAGCTATTGCAGAGCTGGTGGATGGTTGTAGGGGAGGGTCAGGCTTGTGTCCGTTTTCCCTACACAATGTCTTGATGAGGTAATCCGTGCTATTGTTGAGGTCTTGAGGATAGGTGAAGCTGGTGTGCAAGGGATATACCTCGTGCTGAGTGTATAGTCCTTATGTTGAGTCCAACAGGTATGGGCGGTGTATGAGGAATATGGTGTGCACCTGATGAATATCTGACGGAGAAAAAGTCCATATGTTGTATTATTGGAAAAGTCTTGAGACTTCTTTTCTCCACCAAGGAAGATGGTTGAACATCTCTAATAGTTGCCATAGAGATGAGTTTTCATTTCTGGAGTTATTGATGTGTTCATAAAGGTGCATAATAGGACAGTTAAAGGCGATCATATAGAGAGCTGTTTGACACCAGAGGTACTAAATGTCATCTTTGGTGATTTCGCCTAGAGGATGAAGATGGTAGATAGAGATGTATGGTTGATCCGTGTTATACAGATCCTGGGAATGAAGGTTTCCGATTTTGATGGAGACTCTGGTCAGGTAATAGAACAGGTGGGCTCTAGCATAGCTTTTGATCTGGTGAGGTAGAGCTGTATGGTCTAGACCTGGAGGTATGGTCTAGACTTGGAGGAAAGTTATGATATGGTTTTATCGGGAAACACAGAGGTGCATGGATGTTGGTATACATGAAGATTAAAGGGAAGGTTTTACAGGAAGTGATGACCTGAACTGGTTTTGGACGAGTTAAGAAGTCAGGGATGAGGTTGTGATGGCCTTTTATATGTTTGACAGAAAAGTCATATCTAGCAAACCAATCTTTAAGTCTGAGCAATTGCAGGTCGGGTAGAGTTTTGTTCTTAAAATCAAGGACCTTAGGAAATGATGAATTATCCATTCTGACCTCAAAATCATAACCTCTAAGATGGAAATTGAATTTTTGAATTCCATACTTTTATCGCAATAATTTCCTTGTAGATGGTGTGATAATGCTTTTCTGATTTTTTGAACTGGCCACTGGGATGTCCACAGTAGTACTTCTTGTCCTTTTCCTCTTCAACGAGGATGGCCCCCCAGTAGTGATCACTCGCATCTGTCTGCAGGACCCTTTTCCCCGTGCTTGGAATCTTCAATGGTGGTGGTGACTGTGCTATCTTTTTTAAAGCACTGACAGCGGCTGTCTGTTTTGTCCCCCACTGAGAGAGATTCTTTTTTAACATCTTTGACAGCTAGCTAGTATGTTCAGTCACGCGTGGAATAAAGTGTCGGAGATAATTGACTATCCCTAAGAACTGTTGGATCTGCTTGACAGTGAGGTTCTTATCTGGAAACGTCAATAATTCTCGAGCTATGTGTGGGCCAGGCTGAAACTTTCCTTGGGATATCTGCATCCCTATGAATTCCACTTGCATTTGTCCTATCTGGCTCTTCTTTTTTGAAAGCATGATTCCATGCTGATCCATGATTTGATGGAATTAGGCCAATAGGGTCTTATAGGCTCATTCGTCTTTTGAGAACATGAGGATGTCGTCTATGTAGATCAAGGCACTGTACAAAATGGGCTCAAAGATGTGGGTCATCGTTCGTTGAAATAATGACGGGGCCATCTTGAGTCCAAATGGCAAGACTCGCCATTGGTACTGTGCATCTGGGATACATAAGGCTGTTTTGGGCCTGTCTCTGGGATCAATTCCTAATTGCCAAAACGCTCATTTGAGATCGAACTTTGAGAAGACTTGGGCTTCCTTTAGGTGAGTGAACAGAGAGCTGGTTTTAGGAATGATGAACTTGTCATCTTTTAGGAACAGGTTCAAAGGCTTATAGTCGATCACGAGCCTTTTTTTTTTCCACGTACCTGTTATGATCTCTTCTCTACATAGAAGGCCTGGCAAGCCCAGTTTGACTTTGTGGGCTCGATCAATCCTTGCTTGAGAAGCTGGGCGCATTCTTCTCGGGCTAAGGCCAAGTCTGATGGAGTCATTCCTGGGTGAATGACCTTGGTTGGATTGATATCTTCGTTCTTCTTAAAGGGCAGCTGGATGAAGAACTCCTGGTTTTTCCATAAAGGACTGGGATGTTGAAACTGATCATGACTATCAGCACAACACTTTAGAAGCTTATATTTGATGTCTTCATATCAAGACGGGGCTTCCTTTATTGAGAACATTTTTAGAATGGTGGAGTAAGGCTTGAATTGCCTTTTGTATTTCAATCCTGTAGGAAGGATTTGAAGTTTCTCTGCTTGACAGTATACATCCATTCCGATGAGTAAATCCTTATCTGGGAGTGAACTCCCAAGGATTCTTGCCCATATGATGCATCTAGGGAAGAACTTGATCCCAATCTTTTGTTTGGTAATCATTTCTGTTTTAAACACCTGGTCATCTGCAGCTTTGAAGTACTCAATGTGTGACATTTAGGATTCTCGTGGGAGAACCTTTGGATTCATCATCGTTCTTCCTGCTCCAGTATCTATGTAGGTAATCAGGTTTACTGGATTGTCATACTTTGAGGTCAGGACCTGGACTTCGACATTTGGTAGATGAGGAGTAGGAATAGATATGGAACATTGTTCCATATTGTAGACTGAGATGTGATAGTCTACGTCTTCCTCTTCATTGTCTTCAGA